CTATTATACAGTATTGGGGCTTGGTATAAGCTGTACGAGGTACCCCCTACAAAAAGCCACCTACCTTCCTTTCCTGTGGGTCCTCTGCCCTCAAGGGCCTCAATCATAATCTACAGGAACATCGTAATACAGTTATGCCACAGGAAGAAATATTTTGGCAGGACGACCGCTGGCTTAGGGGTGGCGGACTTGCTGGCTCAGCAGCTGCCAGCTATCGCAAGGTCTCTTTGTGCGAAGGGGAGGTGTTTTGGTGGTACACTGGTACAATATCACAGCTGATGTTGTTTACATCAAGGCCGCCACAAACGTAAGCGAGGGCGTGAGTAAACGCTTTTGCCCGATCGACACAACGATCCGGCAAGATAACCTCTAGCCGACAAGGAAAAATCCTCATTGGTCTAGACTCTAGAGTATACGACTCGGAATCTTCATTGGTCTACAAGATGGATGGACTGCAACATTCTCACCCCTTCAGAGTGACAGTAGATGCGGGAGAAGTCGACTTGCAGATTGCACTGTAGAGTAGTGGAACAACAAGAGGCCTTCAGTGTGATAGTTAGTGAGAGTTGTGGACTTTCCTAATACTCATTCTGCACTTGACAGCTAAGTGGTGTAAGTGTTACACATACATGTGAAGATACACGGCGAGACAAAGCCAAGTGAGCAATGACGCGCATGCCGGGATGCAAGGCTGAGCCAAGCAATGAAGCATGCACGGATGAAAAGCCGACCGAGCAAGCAACGACGCACACGCCGGGATGCGAGGCCGAGCCAAGCAATGAAGCATGCTGGGATGAAAAGCAGACCGAGCAAGCAATGACGCACACGCCGGGATGCAAAGCCAAGCAGGCAATGAAGCACACCATGCCTTCCGGCCAGGCGACCTCAATCTCATCCAGAACCGATGACAGTAATCGATCAATGCGCATATTTACCCAGAGTACGGGGAGCCAGCACATTGTTAACCATCGATGACCTTGGGCTGTCCCATGCACAGTTTCCTCAACGACGAGGACCTGGGAATGTATGGCACAATGGGTTTTGGCTTGTACAACACGATCTGTCGACATGTGTCATCCTGGCGATGACTGTCACTGCAAGCCTGAGCTCTGGGAGTGGCGGTTTTCGACGTTTGCCGAGGGCGTCGGGCGGTTCCTGTCCCTACTTCTTGCCGCTTTGCCAAGGCCACATCATTCCCTCTGTTATGCGATGACTTCGGGATTGCTTCAGAGGAAACAGAGACACGCCCGCTGGATCTGGAGACGGAAGCAGAGGCCGCAGAGGATTTCTTTCCGGCCTTCAGCAGGGAGATTGCCTTCTTCCATGCACGCTTTGCAGAGAAGGAGGAGGAGGAGGAGGAGGAGGAGGAGGAGGAGGAAGTGGTGGAGGTTGGCGACAAGGCTGATACCGCAAGTGAAGCGGAAGAAGACGGCTTGAGAAGAGAGGATGACTGGGTCAAATTCATCAAGAAGGGGGGTGACATAGTGTTGTTGTCGATAACCCCCCAAGCAAGAGGTTCTGATTTACAGAAAGGCCCAAACATCAAGGAGCTGTCAGAAGAGCTTTCGCTAAAGCTACGGGCCCTCATAGGAGGAGGGGGCAGCCTTCTCTCATCTGCCTCCTCCTCTCCCCAAGTATGTGCTTGCTTGTCAGCTTCGTCTTCTACTTCCTCCGACAACACCACTGGCCCTTGCTCTGCCCGCAACAACTCCACGGACGGCCAATCCACCGTCGGAGGCAATGGACCAGTTCGTCCTTCGACGTCTCCATCATCACCCTTTCCCCTATTTTTTCCCAAAATCTTGCCTTGGATCTTGAGCAGCGTACGTGTTAGCTTTCCGAAAAGCTTCTTCTTCTTCACAACTTGCACCACCATAGCCATAGGTTGCCATCTTCCAGACTTTGCTGAAGCCTTCCTGGTGTCGGGAAAGATGACAGACTCCCCTGGATCATCGCACTCCTCGGAACCGATGTGCGGCAAGGGCGCATGACGGTGCGACCACTCCGCCGCCACACTGTCCCCCTCCGCATTCATTGGGCGCCTGTCCTCCGCATCGAACCTGCTCCTGCTGCTTCCCGCCCAGCTCTCCGAGCCGACGCTTTCTGACGTCGCAGTCGCTGACGAACAAGGTTCCCTGGTTGCCAGAGCAGAACCAAGCCTCCTAAGTAGTTCCTTCTGGTCTTCAGGAGTCAATCTGCTCACTAAATTCAAGATCTCTGTATGGCAGGAATCAATAGTAGTAGCAAGGTGAGACCTGCTGCTGTGAAATGGAGATCGTTGGCAGTACTGCGACTTATGATGGACCAAAGGAGTTCCAGATTGTTGAATGCTGCGGAGGCAAAGTTGTTCCTTCTCCTCTCGACTTCCTAGCGTGAACAATGGGTTGTCGGTCCCGATTCCATGAGGAGGCGGTTTCTCCTCTCCACTTCCTAGCGATGTTGACTGATGCTCACTTTCCGCTCGTCCTACTCCTCCCAACAAAAGCGGTGATGTTGGTGCCGTCCAGGAGTCGTGTAGCCTGTCTCTCCCCGGTTCGGAGGTAGTGACATCTACACTCCTCACTTCCAACCCAATCTCCACCCTATGGCAATGGGACGCATGCGAAGATGGATGATACTGCTTGTGACTGCCATGGGTGAAACAGGGTGAGCCAGAGATCTGATCTGGTATTAAGGTTGCAGCCTCTGATGATCGAGGGGATAACAAGGAGGATTCTGTGAGTTCCCTTGCTGCAGTATTTGCATGGGAGGGGAAGGTATAGGACCAGATAGCCGCATCCTTGATTGTCCCAGTCATCGTACTGCTGCTGATGGACTCGGGCTTAACAGTCCGAACAAGAGTCGCGCTTCCAGTGTTGTCGAGTTGTACTGTTTCCCCGCTATCCGCCACGCCAAGAGTATCACGGACACTTCTTTGAGAGAGAGGACCAGTCGGCGCCTCTCTGAGATGACAGGTCATGGCCTCTCCTGTCGTCTCTGTGAGGGCCAGGGCTCTGACGACAATACCAAACGCCACTTCAGAGAAATCTACCGAACGGTTACGATAGGAGGATCCACACGTTACGGATTTTGCGTCTGAGCTCACTCTCCCGTCCTCAGAATTGCGCTGTCCGAACACCGGACGGGACAATGCGGAAGTTTCTGTCGATTCACACCTCGGCTCAAACGACAACCGAAGATCATTATGACCACAAAGTTGAATTGCCGGAAGAAGACTAGAATGATTATCGCTTGCAGCAGTTGCTACGGAGGATACTCCGATCCCAGACCCTATGAGGAACTGACGAGAAGTATGCTGGTCAACCACTGACGTCAGTTCCGGGTCTGTTTTTCGCTTACTGCGTGACAAAAAGAGCAGCTCCTCATCTACAGTTTCGTCTTCCTCCTGCGCAACGGCAACGGCAACGGCACACACATCTACGGCGGCAGCCACCACCTCCAGCTTCTCAGCGTCAATCTCCCTGTCGGGAATCGGTGCACCTGATTCTTCTTCGGACTCAATTTTTGCGATGAGATGACCAGAAGCATTTCGGTAAACGACTTGCCTCGCTTCGTTACTCTGCGAACGAACGCACAGCTTCTCATCGTGTGCAGCTTCCTCTTCGTGCCGCGACACACCACACACCATCTCCACCATCTCCACCTTCTCATCCTCCATCCCCGCATTCACCTCTTCCTCTTCTGCAATAGCTCCCCCCTCCTTACCTTCCTCTTCGACCTGATCCGCAGTATCGACGGACGCAACAAAGCTTGAAACTTTGCTAGGACGATCTCCCACTGCCATTGGGATCCCCCCAGACCTCTCTTCTTCTTCCTTGGAGAACTGGTGCTGGTCCAACTCAGCAGGTGCACGACATTCTGGTGAAGCCGTGCATATCTCCTGAAGACGGCAGCTTCTCGCACTCGTCAGCACACCCAAGGGCCAGCCACAGTCCAGGGGCAATGACGACCCAGACGGAGATTCATCACTATTATCATCACCGACTTCTAGCACGGCCGTTACAGCCTCGCATGACTGTATGGATGTAGGAGCCAGAAAAACGCAGTCTGACAAACCCTGTGCAGAGTGCAGTACGTGCAGTGCAAGGGAGGCTGACAAGCATGAGCTCTCCTCCAGCTGGCATCTATTGCTGCCCTCCCAATCCTGCTGTACCAGAGCGAGGTTAACAGGTTCGCCATCCCCCCTCTCTGCATATGGAAGCCGCAAAGCAGTTTTCGCCGCTACCAGTAGTTCAGTCGCCCTGTTCTCGTCATTAGACAGACTCCTGTGCAAGCTGGCAGCCACTGCCAGCAACGAAGACGCCTGCGGGAATCTTACAGGGCATTTGCCTTGAAGCCTAACATAGGAGGAATGGCCAGCAGGCATTCTAGAGGGTGAAGGGATGCTAAGGGCAAAGTGCAAGGAGCCGAAGGAGGTCGATTTCTTCAGATTCAATAATAGGCCAGCCACATCCGTGTTTTTGTCCACCCTCGCCAGAGTCCCATGAAGGGGAGTCCGTGACTTGGCAGAAACCTGCTCAACAGACACCCACTTAAGTAATCTGCTTGTCACTCCTCCTCCTCGATCTTCCGGCTCCCGCACCGCTTGTTCAAGTTCGCCGTCAGAAGATCCAAACAGTGAGAACTGACCAAACACTCCCCTTGAAATCGGCTCCTTCACTCTTTCGTGATGATGGAGAACCACCTGCGCCTCCCTCTCTGCTGGGCAGATAGATTGGGGACATGCTCCACTGCCTTGAACGTCACTGGGGGGACTACTAGTAGCATTTGATGCATCCTCTTCTTCTGTAGCACAATCACCGTCGTCAGCGATCATGGGTAACGGACAACCACATCCGTGGATGTCGAGCTCACGACTTTCGTCAGCTATTGATGGCATAGAGGGAGCAATATCCTGACGCTGGTCGGGAATGAGACCACCTAGTGGGATCTCAACATTGTTCGCAAGTTGCAGATCGGGAAAACAACCATTCGCCGCCTCCGTGGTCGCTTGTGCGGAACTGAATGTGCCATCCTGCCGTGAGTTGCACTCGTTGGCGTAGACCAAGGAAGAATGATCGAAAGCTTCCCTCTTTAAGACCGCGACCCTCTCTTTCTCACCCTCCTCGCGAGAATCCTCCTGAAAATGCAACTCTACATTGCCATGACTTGCACTGCGCAGGCCAGCCTTCTCACATAGTGCACTCTCCCTTTCAATGGCAAGTGATGACGGCAACAAGAAGTTGGCCACGTCTTGCAACTGGAGCAGCAGTTGCTTCCCAATGACTCGACCTCGACTCACAGTACGCACGTCGGCGTCACCGCTAATGTCTCTCTTCAGTTCCCTTGGAACCGATAACGACGACGAGCTCGCCAACGGGGACTGCAACAAGACGTTCATTAGCATCCCTGCTGGAAGATGCTGATCTTCGACAGTCTTCTCCTGGACAAACTGCTCGGTGGAGGAGGAGGAGGAGGAGAAGGACAACAGAGCAAAGGGTGACAGTATAGAAGACGACGACTGAGCTGCTGCCATCATTGCAGTCCTTGTACGTTGATCACTGTGTGTTGCACGTCGTTCTTCCACAAACACGTTGGAGACGACGACTGAGCTTTTCTGCAGGGAAATGCAACAACAAACATCCCTTCCTGCTCTAATCAGGAGAAAGAAAGATCCATTGTTCAGGAAGCATGACGCATCGTCTACACCTTGTGCCAATGATGGAACAACTTCATTGCCATTCAGGCCAACGATGGTTTCATGCTTGCCCTTCACCGACAGCAACATTCTTACCTCTGCGTCCGTGAAGCTGCACGACTCATCCTCGCTGCTCAAAGAGAAAAATGGCTGTTGAAGCCAGGAGTTTCCTCTTCGCGATCCATTCCATGGCAAGAGGTCCATCCAGTCACAAGGCAGCAAAGGCATGGACTTCTGTTGATCCCGCTCGTCTACAACTGGACAAGCAAGATAGCTCTCGACGTCTTCTTCCATTCGTCGCAAAACCGATTGCCGGTGGTGACGTAAAGAATCGGTTATGAGTGAATTGTAAGGCACCGAGGAGTTCGTTCCTCCACGTAGCCGTGCGTCGACCATCGGCTGTGCACCCTCCTCAACACCGCAAACCCGATACGTTGCCGGCGGCCAATGACTGCAGTCCATTCGCTGACCCCTCGCCGCCCCCAAGGGCGTTATCGCTCGACGATAGACACCAGCGGCGATGCTTGGTGGGTTGTTGACCATCAAGACGTTGACGAGATGCCCTTGCTGCAAATCCAAAGCTGGCTGCGCAAGACTGTAAAGGCAACGGGAACGACGACGTAGCTCGTCACCATCGTGATCTCTGCATTGCAGAGCACCAGGGCTGTCCACTAAGTCGTGCACTGACGTCAGATGTTCGGCAACAATGGCAGAAACAAAATGACCCATTTCAACCTCATGATCATGATCACCTTCTTCTTTGCTTCCTTCTCCCGCCACCGCTATTTCGCCAACACCTCCTTCCCTCCGATGCGTTGTTGGCTCCGTAAATATTCTTCTGACTTTTAGAGAAGCTGGGCATTCAGCAATTGATGAGGATTCATCGGATTCAGCGATTGGCAAGAAACCGCTTTGCTCTGCTCTTTCTGATTCTTCATCTTCCTCCCTACCTCCCATCTGTTCTTCGCCTCTCTCTTCTGTGGCACTTCCTCGTCGTCGTCCTCCTCCTCCTCCTCCTCCATCTCCCACTTCTCCCGCATCTCCTCCTCCCTCATCTTCTTCTCCTCCCTCCTCGCCTTCACCACCTTTGCCTCCCCCTTCTCCTCCTTTCCCTCCCACTTCCCCTTCATCAACATCACTTATCTGACACCGTCCATCATCCTTTCGCCCCGAACATGGTGTACTACCTTCGGTACGATCATTCAGGACGAACTCAGCTACTCTCTGTCTTCGCCTTCCGTGCAGGCACCAGGTCTGACTCTGACAAGGATGAAGGAGACCTGGTGCCTGCACGGAAGGCGAAGACAGACTGTGCAAAGCAGTACCCTCTTGCACTAAGTTGCCCATGTCGTCGTCCACAGCTAAAATTGGTCCGCAGAACTCTGACTTCGACTCTGGAGAGACTGTGACAGGCAGAGCACGCAAGGACCACTCCCTGGGCTGAACTTGCTCAACGTTTGTCACGGATGACGAGCTTCCACAGCTTTCCTCAGTGTCTGCAGTTCCCAGGATTTCGTCATCTTCGTCGTCTTCCAGCGCCAAATGCACCAAAAGGGCAAGCGACGAGCTTGCATCTAGCAATGAGCATCCACGTAGTTTGCACAACCGCTCAGCAGGTAGACTTCGTTCTTCGTCCTGCTGCTCCTCTCCCTCCAAAGCACGATCGAACGCCTTGCCGATTGCTCCTCTCCTATCGTCCCTATCATTCTCGTCACGGAGGAAATTAAATATCCGATTATTAGACTGATTATGCGTGTCCATCTGAGCCCGGATCAGTTCCCGCACGACATCGTTCTCTGCGGGACAAATGGAGCTGGCACGGGTACTTGTACTGTTATTGGAACTGGTACTGCCTGAGGTGGCACTGGTACTGGTACTGGCACTTGTACTGGGACTGGTACTGCTACTGGTCCTTGTAGTGGTCCTGGTCCTGGTCCCGGTCCTGGTACTGCTACTGGTACTGCTACTGCTACCTCTACTGGTACTGCTACTGCAATCAGAATGGGAATTGGAATGGGAATGGGAACTGGAACTGGTACTGGTACTGGTACTGGCGGAGAAACCGGGCGATGAAGCGTTTGGCGATGATTTGTGTGGACGTCGTTGTCCACCTCTTTCTCTTCCTTCGCCTGCTCCTGGTTTTCCATCACCTCCTCCTCCTACTACTACTACTACTAACTCGCGAGGGTACGTACAGGTACCGGCCAATCTGTCACTAAGCGCCTGCACACCTGTGCCGCACTCCCAGAACGGTGTGGTCGTTGACCCTGTGCCGCCAGGGAGCTCAGAACTTTTGTCTGTCTCTGCCGCAGCACCTGTGTTCTCTTCCGGGGAATGGACCCTCCTCAGTTCCCCTACGTCGCCGCCGTCGCCGCCGCCGCCGCCGCATTCCCAGTGCGGGTTGACTGAGTTATCGCAGTTTCCTGTCCTGGCCTTGGCCTTGGACGGACTACAAGATAGCTCCCAAGTCGACCATTCAGGCGAGAGTTCCGCAGAGACGGATGGTCGTTCAAGCATCGACTTTCTCGTTCGGGTACCAAGGGGCCCGTCGATATCTTCAGGAGTCCCATCCCTGCCACCATTCTCCACAAAATCCGCAAACTGGCCGCCATGGTCTCCCTCGATACCACTGCTGTAAATCAACCTTCCCAGAGAGCTGCCCAGGTACACTGTCGCTGTTGCTGCTGTGGCTATAGATAGACACGTCAGCACCGCCTTGACCGTCATCCTGATTGAAGGAGGGCTGGGAAAAAAAAAAAAAAAAAAATACGGCAAAATCGCAAACTGCAAAACAAACGAACACAGGATAAACGAACGCAAAACAACTGAATCATTTGCTATTACTTATTGGAAAATTCAAAATTGCAAAAAAAAAAAAAGAGTAAAAGCGGGGGGGGGAGGAATT